GCAGCTCCAGGCTGCGCGCCCATGTCCGTCAGTTTAGACAGGGATATGAAGTAAGTGCAGCGCATGGCATTAATAACATCACTTCTGTTCAGTACTCAGCCAGCCATAGCAACTGCAGTGTCAGGAAGATAGTATGCACGCTCGTTCCCTTGAACACCTGCATGACCTGGCACAAAGATGAAGGTTGGGGTAGATATTCGTGAAATGATTAGTGTTTTAATCCATTCTTGCCTGATAAATCCAACTTGGATTTTTTTAAGCATATTCATTCACTAAGAATGCATACATGTGTGAACTTTTGAGTACCAAGCTATAGGTTGTAAGATGTATGTTAAGCGCAACACATCCAATTTCAACAAACCCGTAATGTGTAGCCTATTATGACATAGTTGTTAGGAGGCAGTATGTCTATTCCCCCCCCCTCCCCCACCCCTAAAATAGGGTCTAGGAATCCCAACAGGGAAGAAGGTTTTAAATTAGTCAAGGTAGATTTGCAGGTGTAGGGAAATATCTGGTTGTTCATCCACTCTTGATTTTAGTCTTATTCCAGAATTTGAATTTTGTGTATATGTTTTTCAGATCTAGTTTAACTGTTGGTTCCTAACCTCTCAAGCGGATAGACTCTGATTTTGAAGGAAACACCCATAAATCCTCTCAATCCTGTCCTTTTAGAGCATGTTTGCACAAGGGGCAGTTGGTCTAGCCCCCCCCCCCCTCTCTCCCAAATGGGGCCGAAGAACCCACACGGGAATGTGTAATAATCAAATTGAATTAGTCAAAAGTTATTCTGATAAAGTTTCCCCCACAGAATGAAAAGTTACTCAGACTGATTTATTTGTTGGATCATTGAGATTTAAATGTTTCTGATAGCTTTGAAGACAGACATGTTTTATTATTGCTTAAATACTCAGTTCCTCTGATGTTCACACTGTCTTTATTTAATTTACAAAGAATCACACACAAAGTCCACAAGAAACTACACTAAAACAGTTACAGAAAATCAAACTCTAATCAACGTTAACATTAGCAGAAACCTGCATTTTTATTTTTATTTTTTATCTATCATAAAAGTAGACACTCTTAAAAAAAATAACGTAAATTTCCTATAGCAAATTTATCTATCAAAGGAGAAATGTCATTCCTTCTTGAGTATCAGCAACAAGCTTTGTGCAGGCACCTGCTGCGGGCATTCTTTCCCTCATTTACACTACCTTCATCACTGACTCTGTCCTCTAACACCTTCATCTCTGACTCTTGTCCTCAAACACCTTCATCATTGACTCTGTCCTCTAACACCTTCATTTCTGACTCTGTCCTCTAACACCTTCATCATTGACTCTGTCCTCTAACACCTTTATCACTGACTCTGTCCTCTAACACCTTCATCTCTGACTCTGTCCTCTAACACCTTCATCATTGACTCTGTCCTCTAACACCTTCATCATTGACTCTGTCCTCTAACACCTTCATCATTGACTCTGTCCTCAAACACCTTCATCACTGACTCTGTCCTCTAACACCTTCATCTCTGACTCTTGTCCTCAAACACCTTCATCACTGACTCTGTCCTCAAACACCTTCATCACTGACTCTGTCCTCAAACACCTTCATCACTGACTCTGTCCTCAAACACCTTCATCACTGACTCTGTCCTCAAACACCTTCATCACTGACTCTGTCCTCTAACACCTTCAGCAAACCACAAGATAATAACTTGAAACTCATTCACACAAGATGCACCGTACAAAGGGAAATATGACATGGGATGAATTTAAGAAAAATGAAAAACAAAAATAAGAGTAATGCTAGGACAACACACATTACCAACAGTTACAAGACAAAAAATAGTTCTATAAGTGTACATCCTGATAGGAAACCAGCACACAGTTATTAAATAGGCTTCGATAATGGAGACATTGACTAAGAACATGAAGATATCCAAAAGAAAACCCCTTCTTCTTTGTGTTCACCGGCTGTAAACTTCTAAAGAGTTCTGGTTCTTCATCAACTTCTGGACTTTAAACTCAATGCTCATTATAAGGGAAAAAGGATAAACAAACATATCGTACAAGGCAAACTAGCTAGGGGGGTATGTCCTTCCAAGTCATAGCGCATCTGCCAAAGAGGCAAAGAGTCAAAAATCTGCAGACAAATAAGCCAGATCTGTAAAATAGATGTGCAGGCAAAATGTAAGTTCAGGTGGAGAGATAACCAGTCTTTCTGCCAGAGTTTACAGCCGCTGAGCACTAAGAACAATAACAGCAGACTACCACTGGGACAGCAGGCAGGTGAGCTAGTGCAGTCAGTAACATAGCCATTCATCAGTGTGCTAGTGCAGTCAGTAACATACCCATTCGTCAGTGTGCTAGTGCAGTCAGTAACATACCCATTCATCAGTGTGCTAGTGCAGTCAGTAACATACCCATTCATCAGTGTGCTAGTGCAGTCAGTAACATACCCATTCATCAATGTGCTAGTGCAGTCAGTAACATAGCCATTCATCCGTGTGCTAGTGCAATCAGTAACATACCCATTCATCAGTGTGCTAGCGCAGTCAGTAACATACCTATTCATCAGTGTGCTAGTGCAGTCAGTAACATACCCATTCGTCAGTGTGCTAGTGCAGTCAGTAACATACCCATTCATCAGTGTGCTAGTGCAGTCAGTAACATACCCATTCATCAGTGTGCTAGTGCAGTCAGTAACATACCCATTCATCAATGATCATGATATGAATATTCATTATTTACAGAAAGAACAACTTGTGACTAATTATTCTCACCAAAGTCTCATAATTAACTTCCTTTTTTTTTTTCTTTACTAAACACATTTACATATTTAGTTATACTAAATCTTTGTGTAGAAAGAAACATTCTAAGAGTTGAAAAAAATATATAATTTAAAAATAGATGCATTATATGTGCCTATATGTATAAATACATATAATTGTGGTTAACTCATTTGAAATTTTTCACAATGTAATTACTTTTGTTACTATGAAGTATACACACACACACACACACACACAGGCACTCTCCCAGTGTTTATACTTCACCTTACCCCCACAAGGTACAAGAGGACTAAGATAAGATGAAAGAAGAGTGAAGACAAAGGTGAGTTAGTACTGTCACCAGTGATCGCTGTGCAGCATTCTTTTGTATCTTCTTTTGAATTTGCCACTGAAAAGGTGGTGAATACCTTGTGTTGTGGTTCACAGCTAGGCTATGATAGTTGCGTCGACTGCCCTAACATAACCGATTTCAACAAATTACAACCAATGAACTATATGGATGCACTGTTTGGACAATGCTGGAGTGTAGAGCAATGGGCAAGGGAACCTATAGGTTTAAGAGCAGATAAATCAAACATTTACAATGGGGGGAAAAAGAACATATTTTTAAAGAATATGAACAACTGTTACTTGACTACACAGCTCCCAGTCTGGGTGCAGGGGACCCATTCTGGAAGGAAATTAAAAAAAAAGAATAGACCCAATGTTCCCAACAGGCATATCATAAAAGGCAACTAATGGAGTCTGCTGAAATCTGTGTTTAGGGAAAAGCCACACATATCACCTACTCTGTAAACCACAATAAAATGTACTAACCACCCTTATAACTATTTCAGTCGCAAGTAACACATCATATGTTCACAGGTTCCTACCTAGAAGCCCAAAGAATGCAAGATGCACCAATTTTATATCTCTATTTACTATCCCTTAGCCTCATGTGCCACTAGGCATAACGAGAACTGATGATGATGATTTACTATCCCTTGGGCCTCTGATGCTAAACAACCTGGGACTGAAAGAGTTAATGGCTAAAGTAAAAGAATGAGATATTCAAGAATGCTGAACTTGTTAGTTGTGAACTTTATGCAAAGCAGACAGAGAATTAGACACACAATCATTCTGGTGACAGTACCAACTAATCATCTCCATTTTGCTCAACAATGACCTTCCTCTGACTCCAACAGATAATCATAAATGGAAAGGGGCAAATATTGCAGCCTAGATGTAAACCGCAACACAACGTGCCAACCACCCTGCTGAAGGCAAAGATAGAAGAAGAATACTAAATAACCTAAGATTTGATGGATTTAAGTGTGGTTTCACTGAAGAACTGTTGACTATCAAATATTACTTGAACTAATGACATCTACAGTTGATGAGACAAAGGATATATAGAATTCTATAAGTATTCATATACAATGAAAAATAAATGCAGCACCAATGCCATTTTAAGCATAAAGTAAACTGTGCTTACACAGGTTCTTCAGCACTAGCAGATACACACTGACACACATTTTCAACCCCCTGACAGAAACAAATCCTGACCTTACCGAGGATTTATGCCTAAGCCTGCCATATGAGAGCCCAGCGTTTTCAACCACTCGATCAGCCGCTACTCAAAAGACCCATTACTAACCATTAAACAGACAATTTTCAAGGTTTTAAAACGGGTGTTAGTTGCAAGAGGGAAAAGAAAAAGGTTACCACATAACCAGAGCTTAATTTTTTTTTTTTTAAATAGAGAAAAAAATGCCGGTTTTCTTCATAAAGTGTCTATTACAGTAGTGCTTTAAAAAAAAAACACAAATGCCTTAAAAAGGTACTGGTACTGCATACTGTTGTGTACCGCCCTTTTCCCCCACACACACAAAATGACCTGCACATAGTATTCATAAAGACAACAGTGGATGCACATATGCACTATAGCCAACCCCCAGTGGAGGCAACACACACAACAGAAAGACAACCCCTCAATGGAAGGTGTCCCATCACTTTCCATATACAGAGTAGGACAAATAGACATATCACCAACACCATTACAAGCATAACTCCAGCTGTGCTTATACATGTTCTTCATCAGTGAAGGACGCGTGCACTGAAAGGTGTTTTCAAAATATTGGTATTTTTCCTTTGGTATGGAAACTTATGGGACACCCTGTGTATTCAGTTCGTTGTTTATCTGTTGTATAGTTGACAATCTGGTCTATAATCAGTCACTGAGCTGGCACAGAAGAGCAGCCCCCTTGGCTATCCAGTAGTCCTGGGGCATTGATGATGGCAGATACACGGCAACCACATAGTTCGTAGAGTGACCTGAAACAACAGGCAACATCTATTTGACTGTCATAACTTAATAATGTTTCTAAAGTTGAACTTAATTTATTAAGAATCACAAATGTAGTTAAAGATAGCTAATTATATACAAGAGTAGTCAAAAAGCATAATGAAAATAATACTGATTCCTTCTTCTTCCTCACGTTCATCAGCTGTAAACTTAGGCACAAAGTTCTCATTGTTCGTCTAGCTCTAGACTTTAGTCTTGTTCCAGAACCTGAGTGTTGAGTGCGTATCAGTTTTACAGATGATTTATCCATATGCAGATTGTTGGTTCCTTGCCTCGAAGGCAGGTGTACTCTGACTTCGAAAGAAACCTTCAATAAACTCTTATGACATGCTTGTTGGAGAGGTAGGGGGGTTCTATTTTTGTTCTCCCCACAAGAGTGCCCTGGAACACACACGGGGAATACTGATTAAAAAGTGTTTGAAATTACTGCAAGTGAGATTTTGGCGAAAAGCTAGTATGTCAACAGAAAATTAAACTCTTCAACATTATGTCTGTTAGGTTGCTAAAAAAAAAGAAAATGAAGACTCTAGCATCAATGGTCAAAGACACATTATATAAAGTTGTACCTGTGGTTGACAAGGTCCCAGCCCTGGCTGAAGTTTTGTACAGTGGAGCAGAATACAGAGAGGAGTCTGGCTCATAGTCCATTTTTGGGTCCATATGCATCACAGGTAAACTGGAAAACATATCTTACTGTCATCATAGGTTTGTGAGGATGTAAGTGCTTACACAATGCAGTTTTTACTTTAGTGTGAATAACAAGGTAGGTAGAGATACTGCAATCACGAGAAATATAAAAGATAAAAAAAAAAAAAGGTTTTGCACTCAACTCTTTCAGTCCCAGGTAGTTAATGCCACAACACATCCTCACACAAAGTTGAGTGAACAGTAGTTAATGCCACAACACATCCTCACACAAAGTTGAGTGAACAGTAGTTAATGCCACAACACATCCTCACACAAAGTTGAGTGAACAGTAGTTAATGCCACAACACATCCTCACACAAAGTTGAGTAAACAGTAGTTAATGCCACAACACATCCTCACACAAAGCTGAGTGAACAGTAGTTAATGCCACAACACATCCTCACACAAAGCTGAGTGAACAGTAGTTAATGCCACAACACATCCTCACACAAAGTTGAGTGAACACTGAACTAACAGTCTTTTACTTTCACTGGGGTAGGGTAACATAGAATAGAAAGTCATTAAGTAAAAGCAACTGTATTAAATTGTATTATTAAGTATTTCAAAGTCTTGAGTGGCACAAAATTGCTCCTTGCCTTATTTCTCGAGAGTCTCCTTGCCTTGCAACACACGTACTCCACAGCTGCACAAGACTGTGGATGCCCACCAGGCTGAAGCATTTGGATGTGGCCAGTAACCAAGTCTGCACCACCTCAGTGTCATCTGCAAATCTCTGACACCACAAATTTTCCTTGTAGAAAAACTGACACAGACTGCAATCTCAGCATATCCACAAACATACACACGCATTAAAAACATAAGGCAGCCATCAGAAGTGCTAACACAAACAGTCTGACATTAGAAATGCAGTTCATCATCGACAGAAGCAGCAGTTACAAATCAGCAGTTGCACACGCGATCAATTATAATCATATAAGGCACCACCAATTATGTGGCAACAGGCTACTCACCATTTTCTGAATCTACATTTCACAATACCATGTTAGTCACAGTAAAAAAAAACCATTTCAAATAAAATCCATAGCTCAGTGTCATGTCATGCACTCAACTCAGCAGCTGGGCCACAAAACTATATCCTTTCAGTCTAAAAATAGAGGAAAATGCAATGGCCACCATCTGTGACTGTACTTATCCTACTGTCCATTTTGACCAGAAAAAGATATAGGATGCACTACTGAGGAAAAACCCCTAGATTAAGGCAGTGATGAGAACTTATAGGAACACTTCCCATCTCAGTCACAGTCCTGAAGACCTAATCAACCTCTTCACACAAAATAAACAAACTGGATGCAACAGATTCTGCCCTCATATGCAAAAGAAATTCAGGATCGGGGACTCCGAAATTTGCCCAAGTTGACAGGCACCACAGAATACTGAAGAGACAGGTTCTCTTCATGCAACAGAGAGACTTCAGGTCTGGCATTCTGGTTGAGACCAAGCTGTATGGTTCAGAGGAGGACATGCTTCACACCACAGACTTCATAGAGAACCGTGGCCTTTTCATGTGAAGGGAGGGAGAAGAAAAAGAAAAAGAAGCGGGTCTCTGTGGTGGAGTGGTAAAACTGTTTGGCTGGTGATTTAGAAGTCATGAGTTTGTTTTACAGACTACATCATTCAGTTTCATAAATGTAATTTTTTAAGAGACTGATCTGGGATCATGGCTAGAGCTACGGAGCTCATGCTTTGTGCAACATTCTCAGTAGGTGGCTGGCCATTCTGTAGAAAACTACTGAGCCATATGGGAAGTGGTGGAGGGAAGAAATAGACCCTCTGCCTCTCTAATGAACATTTTGTGAGAGTCGACTATTTAGGGCTTTCCTTCAAAGTCAGAGTGCATCTGCCAGGGAGGTAAGGAACCCATAGTTTACATATAAACAAGCCAGATCAGTAACATGGATGTACACTCTAAACTCAAGTTCTGGAACAAGACTAAACTCCAGAATTGGATGAACAACCAGATTTCTCCACCAGAGTTTACCGCCAGTCAATGCTAAGAAAAAGTAGTTACCAGGTAATGTTCTGGGAAGAAAAGGCAGCCAGCAAGGTACTGACCTCATCAAATGCTAACTGATTTACAAACATGTGACTACAACCATATGTCCAGTACACCTCAAGAATGTGGAAGAAAGCCTGTAAATTTGCATGCTGAAGTGAATACATACCCAGAGTTCATCTGGCCTTTAATCATATCACAGCAGGACATGGAGTGCCAGTCCCAGGCGAAGCCATCCATGAAGAGTCCGTGTACAAGAACACCATCATCCGGCGAGAGCAACTGTCAGAAGGTCAAATAATCAATTACTGATGCAGTTCCTCTGACCTGAACATCAAGGAGAACTGGCTTGTAAACAGCATCTTCTTCTGAAAGCTAAGGTATTTTGGACATGTCAAGCACCATGGTGGTCTGGAGAGAAGGGTGATGGAGGTTGCAGTTTCCAGAAAACAAGGCACAGGCTGACTATACAGAAGTAGATACAGGACATTGACGATGCATTGGCTATGAAAGGACACTAGGGCTGAGATCTGGCTAGAGAAAGAGAGACTTCTAGGCGTGTGTGAATGAGCAACATTCTGTAAAGAGCCTGCTGAGGGATGTTGATCTCATGCCATCAAAAACCATAACAGTGTTTTTTTTTTTTTACAATATTTGTCCACCATGTGGACTGAACCCTGAAACTAGAGGATCTCTAAATTATGCTCCATTAAATTATGTCCCATCAAATTAAGAAATTATTAACCCTTTCACTTTGTGAACATAAAAAAAAAAGGTCATAAACTTGTGGAAATCCCCCCCCCCCCCCCCCCCCCAAATCCAGTTTTTAAAATACAAAAATTTACACATAAATTTAAAAAAAAATTCATGTATCTACATTATTTAGTTGTTGAAATGTATAAAGATACATATAAATGGAGTAATCATAAACATGAACAAAATGAAGCCTTAAATGGAATAGATTCTGCTGGGCCTAAAACATACTTACTGGGGGGCTCATGCAAGCACGACCCAGTGATCTCTATCACTGAGGCTTGCAGGAAAATGTGATGTAAACTTGGCTTTATAAAAGCCATTTGGTTTGCAAGAAAAACTGCCTGTATTTACCATTTGTGTAGTGTAGGCAGGAAGGTCTTTGAGCAGGAAGACCCATAAATGGTATAAATAGTTAAAATATTTATATCCGCCCCCTCCCCCAACACTGAGCAGATGTAAGTAGAATCAATGGCATTTTTTTGTGCTTTCCAAGAACACATCACTATAAATGCTGTTTAATTGGTATTTATGAGAAATGTGTCACAGCTAGAGTTACTAGATCCAGTTTTGTCAGAGCAACGTCGTTAAGATACACTTACAGAAAGTCAAAAGGAAAAAAAAATATAGGACTTGCTTGATCAATGATTTTTAACCTAGTTTCCACCATGTACCACTAACACTACATGTCAGAATGTAGTTTATTCAGCCTTAGATTAGTCTGAAGTGTCCTTACCATATTGTCAGTATAGAGTATTCGTCTTATATTAGTACCCACATATTTGACAAGATTCAGATTCACTTTATATGTATGTGGGTACTGCCTGTAGAGCAGTGCTTTTGGCAAGATATTAGATTGAGGAAATGCAATCTGAAAACTTTTAAATGTTATGGCAGAGCAGACCAGGCCCTTAGCCTTGTTTGCAGTTGGTCTAGGAGTGAAGCTCTGATAGGTGGACAAACAGAGCACTGCTTTTCAGATCCAGCAGCTCTAAACATTTTGGCGTTACCTTTCCTCTAGAGTTAACAAAACAGGCATGGAGAGAGGAGTTGACAGAGAGATCACAGAAGACAGAAGGAGTTAACTCTTTTAGTACTAGAAGATTACAGCTGATGCCTGACTGAAGCAATAATGTTGACAACCAAAGCATGGGTATACTGTATCTACAGTCTAAATAATCAGCATATTGTGGGTGACATGTTGCTGGACTGATTTAGTTTTGCTGACTAGATTTAACTCTTTCAGTCGCAACAAGTACGCTATGTGTGATGAGGTAGTTCCCATGAGTATGAAACCACAAATGATTTAACTAGTTTTTAGCTCAATAATACTATAAAAACCTGGCTAGTTACTTCACTATCCCTTCGAATTTGTGTTGCTTCTTCTGTGACAGTTATGCTACATGTTGTTAATTTCCATTGTGTCTTATCGTTACCTTGGAACCGTCCAGCTAAATGTTCTGGTGCTTAAAGAGTTAAGATGTAAATATAAACAAAACATATGGACTGGTGCATGCTAAGTAATATTCAGTACACATGGTGCATTGTTTAAGACTGAAAGAGTTGAAGCAGCAACTGAAATAAACTACGTTAGAATAATGGGGCCAGAAATAAAGAAATGTACAGCATGTATAAAGCAATCAATAAATGTACGGTGGGGTGTCTAGTATTCAATAAGTTAAACGACTTCGCCCTCCATGTGAGTGGTGTACAGGACTGTATTGTTTCAGGGGCACAGCTGGTTTGATTGAAATCTTCCTGGGATTCAATTTATCTTACTTCAGCATCCTGGGGTATAGTTTCTCCTTTGTGAATCTGAGACATTTCCTCTGTGACTTTCTCCTGGTCTCGTGAGACCTGCAGCATATTAAATTTGAAACTGAGATGATCAATAGGAAGGTTGTACTTCCTGGCAAAGTTCTGCAGTGCACCAGTCAGAAATCCTGGGAAAATGAGTAACACATAACAGTTAACATGCTGTGTAGGGGAGGAAAAAATAAGAATGACATACATAAAAAATGATTTATGGGTAAACAGTTACATGAGTTATTTAAAAATTCAAAACAATCTCTATTGTAAAGAGAAAAGAATAGATCCATAGCCTCCCCCATCCCAAATCGCTTCCCCCAACAAGCATGTCGTGAAAGCTGACTCATTAGTGGTGTTTCCTTCAAAGTTGGAGCGCATCTGCTTGAGGCAAGGAACCAACAGTCTGCATTTAAAAAAAGCCAGATCTGTAGAACAGATGTGCACACAAAACTAAAGTTTTGGAAAAAGACTAAAGTCAAGAAGTGGACAACAACTATAAACCAGAGTTTACAGCCCGTGAAAGCAAAGAAGAAAATGTAACTCATCAACTATCAAATTAATAACATGCAATAAATGCATAATATTATAAGGTATAATAAAAAGTGCAGTTTCTAAAAGGAAAGGCAAGCTCTGACCAGTATCATAGTGGACATGAAATAACATGAAAATAACCTACTGATGATACAGTTGGACTTATGGCCAAAATGACAGACAGCTGACAAAATAACCTACTGATGATACAGTTGGACTTATGGCCAAAATGACAGACAGTTGACAAAATAACCTACTGATGATACAGTTGGACTTATGGCCAAAATGACAGACAGCTGACAAAATAACCTACTGATGATACAGTTGGACTTATGGCCAAAATGACAGACAGTTGACAGAATAACCTACTGATAATACAATGGACTTATTGTCAAAATGACAGACAGTTGCAGATGCTCTGACAAGTTATTTGTTTCCTGCTTAATTTTGTTGATGCAAATTCCTCATTTCCGGACTGGGAGTCCAAATTTCCTCTGCCCAGCTACTGAGTGGAATACTATGAGCTGCAGATTTCATGTGAAAAGTGTTCCTGTTGTGCCCGCTACGTGTTGTTGGTTGCACTAAAATGGCAGATGGCTGATTACATTTAGAATGGCGTGTATTTTTGTGGGTTCACCGTTTGTGCCAACAGTAAGCTGAAATTCTGGTGTGGGGCCATTAGTGTTGGCACATCTGACATTATGCATTTTTACTTTGTGTGTGCCAGCTTCAAGGTTTTTCTGGCATTGACAAAATGTTCACAAGTTTTTCAATGGAGCAGTGAAGGACATTTTGTGCGATTTCCATTAGCAGGGGAATGGAGCGATTGCAGTGCGACCCGCTGCTGTCATATTGGAACCACACCTAATGAACTGCTGCCCTACAGGTTGGGTTGGTCTCGTGTGTACAATAAAACACCTCATTCCCAGTGTGTTTTTAAAGCACTAGATTTAGTCTATTCTTCAGTATTCGCTCTCAAAAGGATAGCTGGCATGCTATGGTGTAGTTTACAGCTAGGCTACAACCTCTGCACTTTTAGCCCAGCAAATACGATCTCAGCAAAACCTCTTTTAGCTGCCTTTTACAACAATTGTTTCTTAAACAGCAGTAGGTCTCTCCTTCCCCCCCCCCCTCTTAGCAGTGGATCTTTCCCCACTCCCACCCCATTTTTTCCACTCCCCTAATATGGGTCATAATGCCTGCCTTGTCTGGACTTCAGGTGATTTCATAACCACTAGGAGCCCAATATAACCTTAAAGTTGAATAGGGCTCACTTGAATTTGTTTATGTGGAATTCTCATCCTTTAGGTGTTAAATCCTGTGGACTACAATCCTAGAGGAGACAAACTGCGTGGGAAAAGCCCTATTTTAAACCTTCAAACTCATGTGGTCACCTCAACCACAGTGTGGTATTACCTTTATTAAAACTCCAAATTCATTTCACCATTTCCTCTTTGGTGTGTTATTGAGCTTTATGTTAAAACTTCAAACTCACATCACACCTCCATGTTCTCTTGTGAAAAATCAAACTCACTTAATCACCCCTTTCCCCTAGTATGTTATCAAAGAATTAACTCAAAACACAAGATACCTTGAGGGAAGAAGAATCCAGACAGCCAGTAGGATTTAGGATTGCCATGAGCAATCCAGTTTTTTATAAAGGCACATCGCATCACAAGATCTTTCACCCATGATGCCAGAGTTTTCAGTGATGGATATGCAGCGCTAGCCCAAAGACCTGGTACCTTTGGTTATTTCAAATAATTAGTGACCCAATGATTTAAAGATTGTCAAACAAATCAGCACTGAAGAAGACTGCTAATGTTATTTGATCCGACCACTCCACTGTCCCCTCATTATCATCATCATTAACATGTTGCTTAACATCACCCTCATCACTGCCTTTGGTAAAGACACATAATCTGTCATGTCTCTAGTGTTTATTATCCTGTGTCCACCACTGTGTTGCTCAAACCTGGGTTCATAAAGCTGAAGATTTGACAACACAGCATTTAGGACAAGCCCATATTAGCTCCGTCTCCCTCCTCAACTGCTGTAGTACAGCTCTCTCTACTTTGTGGCGTACGTTGATGTCACACCCAGGTTCGTTCTTAGGTTTGCTACAGGAGGAGTCGATTGGAAGATTATAGACGAGGAGAAAGATGGTCGTGTCGATAGTGGCGATGATGATGATGATGACTTGCTAGCTGCATGCTTCTCATGTAACTCAGATGCTTGTATAATAAGGTGTCTAGAAACAACGGATCTTGTCTATACTGTCTTTATTGTGATACTTTAGCAATGTCACAAACAATATCAATGATATTCTGAATAGCGCTGTGTTCTCTCTATGGCTAAATACTCGTAGGTTCGCGTTGTGTTCTTCATCTTTAGTTACTTGGTTAACTAATTCTAGTGTCTCCAACTGCCACCGGGCTTCTAGTGCTGTTTGGTACTAACGTCTTGATCGTTGACTCTAACATCTCTATAGTGTTCCTGATATGTCTCTGTTCTCCATGGATCCATGTATCTTGTGTGTCGTCTCTGTAGCTCGATGTCTCGTTTCATGTCTGCTCTCCAGTGACTGTCTTCGAGGTTTAATATGAACGGCTGCTCTGCTTCCAGTGTTGAGCTGGCATCAGGGATCATTGAGACTAGTCGCTCGTCCTCTGAGTCTCAACGACTGAAGGCTTCTAGTGTTAAGCTTACATCTCTACCGCTGAAGGCTGACTTGAGAGTCCATGACTGGTCTCTCCTCTCTTGAGTCTTGTGGACTGAAGAATTGCTAAAGTGCTTTGTTACTCGCTATTTATACTTGGATGCTGGAATGCTAGGTATTTGTTTTCTTCTCGCTTTGTCTGCTTCTTAAATATTCTGGTACGCCTAAACTTGTTTACTAGGTAGGTTCTCACGTGGGATTTGCTAATTATATCTCGATTGCATCAGATTTCATCATCCTATTCTACGCAGATATAGTAGTTAAACTGACAATTGAGGTTATAGAAGCTTCTAGAAAAACAAGGACAATTGCGCTTGCTTTGATAGGGCACGTCAACAAGGTATTCACTAGTACGACAAGGTTGGGTCACATGATGAAAAGAATGCATTTCAAAACTTCTAGAAAGAAGGCTAAGGCCAGACAACATCATTTTGATGTCAATAGCTTGTTTTGGCGGGAAAATAAGATTCTGGAAAAGGGAATGTCAAGGCTGCCAAAGCTTGTTATCTCCTAATATTTTAGCTTTGTGCCTCCTAACAAACAAGCTATGAGCTCACTCTTTTACACTGCCAGCGAAGAGTCTCCATACTGAAGGTACCAACTGTCATCTGGTTAACTACTTATACTTGTCTTGTCATACCCCCCCCCCTCCCCTCCTCCCTTCCACCAGTGCCACAGACACCCACCCCCCACCCTTTTTGCATCATTCTCTACACATATGGGTCATCAGCAACTTTCATTTTAACTGTTATCCCACAGAAAAGAGATCCGCTCTGCCTTGTGCAGTCGTAGAACATCCCACAGAAGAGATCCGCTCTGCCTTGTGTAGTCGTAGAACATCCCACAGAAGACATCCCCTTTGCCTTGTGCAGTCGTAGAACATCCCACAGAAGAGATCCGCTCTGCCTTGTGCAGTCGTAGAACATCCCACAGAAGAGATCCCCTCTGCCTTGTGCAGTCGTAGAACATCCCACAGAAGAGATCCCCTCTGCCTTGTGCAGTCATAGAACATCCCACAGAAGAGATACCCTCTGCCTTGTGCAGTCGTAGAACATCCCACAGAAGAGATCCCCTCTGCCTTGTGCAGTTGTAGAACATCCCACAGAAGACATCCCCTTTGCCTTCTTCAGTTGCGTGCATCCCTAAGTGGATGCTCATCCTTGCCTTGTCTTTCTGATATTTTTTTAAATTTTATTTAACTTGCATCTGTTTTTTTTCTTTTTAAATTCTAAACTAAATTTGATGACGCTAAACAAGTACTTCAGGTTCTGAGAGATGACCCTGTTCAGCCTAACATGGGCATCAGGAAATGTTATGGGAGGTAAAAGCAGCTAGTGTGATATTGACCACATTACTAACTGAGTGCTGATTAGTCTATACTGAATAATGACGAATCTCTGACACTAACACGATTGCGTGACATGGGAGTAAAGCATGGTGAAGCAGGTCTATGCCGCCTTCGAGGCAGAGACAGGAGACACAATAACCAACCTCTCATGGAAACAGTAGAAGTACCTTGAAGTGGCTGCTGCATCGGATGACTGAGCACGTGCAGTAACATCGATTGTGAAAACAAAATAACACATAAATATGAGTCTAGTACCAAATGCCTGATGTACCACTAGTGTGAAAGAATCCTATACTATTTTATAAACTATATAAAATATGCATCTTCTTCTTCTTCTTCTTCTTCTTCTTCTTCGCGTTCACCAGCTGAACACTCTAGTTGAAAGTGCTGGTTGTTCGTCCACTTCTGAACTGCAGTCCTGCTCCAGAACCTGAGTGCTCTGTGTGCATCAGTTTTACAGATCTGATTCACTTGAATGCAGACTGTTGGTTCCTTGCCTCTCAGGCAGATGCACTCTGACTTCAAAGGAAGCTTCCCAATTAGTTGACTCTTACGACATGCTTCTGGGTAGGCAGTGGGTCTAGTCTTGCTTTCCCCACAATAGGGCCTCGGAACCCTCATGGGGGAAATATGCATCTAAAGTCTCCTTCAATAATTGGAGAAAAAAAAAGTGTATTACCTGATTATTTAGAAACGCATTGTAAAGGTTCTCTAGTTCTTCACTCATGACCACAAAACCTTTGATAGCTTTTTTCAGCTGATCCAATGATCTCTGAAATCAATGTACAAACAAAACCACGTCAAGAATGTGACAGAAACAAGTGTAGACACAAAACCACATGACAGATATCATGGAAACAAGTGTAGACACAAAACCACATGACAGATTTCATGGAAACAAGTGTAGACACAAAACCACATGACAGATATCATGGAAACAAGTGTAGACACAAAACCACATGACAGATATCATGGAAACAAGTGTAGACACAAAACCACATGACAGATATCATGGAAACAAGTGTAGACACAAAACCACATGACAGATATCATGGAAACAAGTGTGGACACAAAACCACATGACAGATATCATGGAAACAAGTGTAGACACAAAACCACATGACAGATATCATGGAAACAAGTGTAGACACAAAACCACATGACAGATATCATGGAAACAAGTGTACACCCAAAACCACATGGCAGATATCATGGAAACAAGTGTACAACCAAAACCACATGACAGATATCATGGAAACAAGTGTACACCCAAAACCACATGACAGATATCATGGAAACAAGTGTACACCTAAAACCACATGACAGATATCATGGAAACAAGTGTACACCCAAAACCACATGACAGATATCATGGAAACAAGTGTACACCCAAAACCACATGACAGATATTATGGAAACAAGTGTACACCCAAAACCACATGACAGATATCAGGGAAACAAGTGTACAACCAAAACCACATGACAGATATCATGGAAACAAGTGTACACCCAAAACTACATGACAGATATCATGGAAACAAGTGTACACCCAAAACCACATGACAGATATCATGGAAACAAGTGTACACCCAAAACCACATGACAGATATCATGGAAACAAGTGTACACCCAAAACCACATGACAGATATCATGGAAACAAGTGTACACCCAAAACCACATGACAGATATCATGGAAACAAGTGTACAACCAAAACCACATGACAGATATCATGGAAACAAGTGTACACCCAAAACCACATGACAGATATCATGGAAACAAGTGTACAACCAAAACCACATGACAGATATCATGGAAACAAGTGTACACCCAAAACCACATGATACGTCTTCTTCACGTTTATTGGCTGTAAATTCCAGTGGAAAGTTCTGGTTGTTTGTCCACTTCTGGACTCTAAACCTGTTCCAGAAACTGAGTGTTGTGAGCACATTCATTTCACTGGTCTGACTCCTCTACATGCAGATTCTTGGATGCTTGCCTCTCAGGCAGATGCACTCTGACTTTGAAGGAAGCTCCCATTTAGTCGACTCTTACAACATGCTTTTGGTGCAGTCATTGGGTCTATTCTTATTTTCCCCACAATGGGGCCCTGGAATCTAAACGGGGAAAAAGGTATGCAAACAAGCATACACAAAAAACTACATAAGCGAAGTGTGTACACATTAAATCATGCAAAAGGATATAACAGAAACAAGTGTACAAACAAACCATATACAGGATAAAATAGAAACAAGTGTAGACACAAAGTTAAATTAAAACATGAATCAGAAACATATGTACACACAAAACAACATGAAAGATCTCGCACAAACAAGTACAGAAACATACATACAATGAAAACCACATTAAAAATGTAAGAGAAACAGTCTGCTTGTCCCCTCTCTTCCTCCAGATACCTGTGTGTGTGTGGTGTGTGTAGTATATGTGTGGAAGAGAGAGAGACAGAAAGAGAGAGTGTATGTTGTGTGTGGGTTGGGGGGGGGGGTGGTATAAAAGGATCTGCTGTGTGCAATTTCTAACACATTGCACAAATTCATCTTCCTTCATTAAGGCTGTTCCTGAGGCCATCATTCCATATTTTGCGTGGTCCTTTCCCTCGCTCTGTGTTTATGATATTTCTTTGGCGTAGCTTACTGTGGCAGCTGGTACTAGAGCATTCTCATTAGATGGCCAAACCATCTCATCTGAAGCTCTTTAATGTACTGTATGACTGGTTTCCATGCATTCTGCAGATACCATGGACAGACAGAGTGACTAACAACTGCCTAGAAATGGCTAATGAAATCAGAAAACTACAAATACAACTATAAGAAAGAAGCAGTCAGTGTTCTTCGGCCATATGGTGAGAAGAGAGTCATTGGAAAACACTGTGACAACTGGAAAGATCAACACTAGAGAACATCGTGAAGACTGGAGAGATCAACACTAGAAAAGGAAGAGGCAGACCAAAGTAATGCTTCATGTTCTTAAGTGAAGGTATTTAGAAATGTTATCAGTGGAATTGATTTAGAATGCCAAGGAATGTGACCTGTGGAGAGACATGCACGCCTAAGCCGCTGGGCAGGGCACATGATCATGATGATGATGGTGATGATAGGGACTGGTTTCAGGCCCAGTCTTCTTTTAAATTCTTCATTTTCATTTTAATCCTTTCTTGTCACTCCAGCTTTCCCGTGTGCATTCTGGGACCCCACTTTGGGAAGGGGGAGGGGGGGGAGGGGTAGGATGAACAGACCCACCGCCTCCCTAACAAGCATTTCAGTCGACTAACTGGGGGTTTCCTTTAAAGTTGGAGTCCATCTGCCTGAGAGGAACCAGCAGTTTGCATACAAATGAGCCAGATATGAAAAGCGAATGTGTATGCAAAACTCAAGTTCCAGTTCAAGACCAAAGTCCAGAAGTGGACGAGCTACCGGAGATTTCTGCCAGAGTTTACAGCCAGTGAACGTGAAGAAGAAGCAGTTCCTCCCGCAGACAAAATAAACATACAGACAGTAGCAACACATCAGAACTAAACAATATCCTACCTTGATAACTTTCAGAAGTTTATTAAATCTCTCCGACTCCTGAGTGACTACAATGGTCAAAGAATTCTGTCGTCCCTTGCTGTCAGGCTACAATGTGAATGTGAAACAAATGAGTTAATTATTTATATGAAGAGAGGAACTGTGATAATATTTTGTACTGCAGTGGACTGTCTGGAGAAAGTTAATGTTTTTGCAGCTATACGCATCTATAAGACAAACTAATTTTAATAGAAAACTATACACCAGTATTTCCCATCTGGTAGATGCTGAATAAATTTAAGGGAACTTTGATATAATTTACATAAACATAAAAAATATAAAAATAAAAACCTAAACTGGACAAATCAGTAGGTTTCTCAACAAAATTTGTAGACCTGCAGTAGTAAAGCAGTCCATCCTCTTCTTTTCTCTACTCTTGAAATGCCTCGTGGTGTCAGAGCAGGAAGAGATCTCTGGAATGAGCCCTTCTATTTGCTTTGTATAAAGTACTTTTCAGTGTCTCTAATATGTCTGTAGTCCATCTTCTGCGTAGTTGACCTGATAATTTTTTCACTATTGCATCCATATAACACTGCTCTCTATGGTGCCCTGTCTGCTGCCAATCTTGTTACATGATCAAACCATTTGATATGTTGCCTACTTTTAAATATAAAGTTCAGTATTGGTTCAGTGCCGATTCTCCTCTTGAAATCATTCCTAAGTCAGTCTTTCCTTGTTAAACCTAGTAAAGGTGCTTTTCCTATCTAGACAGAACACAGGCTTGCAACCAACTCAAAAAAACCATTCTTTGATATGAAAGGATTGATCTCTTCAGTTTGACTCTTGTGAATGCAACTATTACATATCTGTTGAAATCAAATATGTTGGTTTGAGGGGTGCAGATTATAGTAGATTAGCTGTAAACTACTACGCAATGCAAAAACATCATTTGTAATGGCAAATGCAGGAGAAGAAGACAAAGAATTCATAAGGCTGAACACTTAAGTAAAGTACTCTAAACATACAAAGTAGTTCTAAGCCATGGATAATGCTACTAAACCATCCATGGGCAGCAGGCATTAAATGATACAAATCAAGACCACTGACCGCAAACATTGAGGGGTCTGCTTCTTCAACGTCCAACTTGTCTATGAGTCTGTCCAGAATATTGTCAGCCAGGGCATAGACAATGTCATCATTTGACAGGCCAGTCTCATCTCCTGACACTCGGGGTTGGACTTCCAGTATGGTGCCTAGCCAATGGAACATGTAACTGTATGTGTTAATACTGGTAACTGACATACGTTACCAAAGGATGAAGATGGAGATGATTTAACATGGAATGTGCAATAACATTCTGGCAATGAAAGCTCTCTGATGGATAGCAGAAAAAAAAAAAGGAGATGTGGAAGACCTAAAGAAATTTGAAGAAGGACAACAGAAAGGGAAATGAAGGAATGTAAACTGATATGGGATTATTTCATAGGCAATTAAATAAAAGTTTTGGTCCATAAATTGAATTGTTAGGATTTTTGTGTGTTACCTGTGTGAAAATTTTTTTTTTTTAAATAAAGGTATTCTGTTTTTGGAAACATAAATTCCCTAAAATATGGATCTTTAGCAAGGTTTAAAGTAAAAACCGTCTAGAATTAAAAAACAAAAAAGCTAAATTATATCTGCCTGGTACTGAAAGTGTTAAGCGATTAACTAGAATTCATGTCCCTAAACTTGGGTTACACCTTTAGTTGCTCTGTACTTTTTACATGCTGAAATGTAAGAGACCTATTGTTCCCACATAACAATTTTTTTCAGAAGCATCCATAATCATTGGAACATGTATTGGCCAGAAGCGGCAGTAACAGGGTACAATCAAATAGTGACAAACCACCAAGAGACTAAAACATTAATGCAATCTAGTATCCAAGAAAGGTGGCTGGATATACACACCAAATTCTCTCTTCAAGATTCGTTTCATCGGCTTTTTAGAAAGGGACAATGTATTTATATACAGACTAAAGACAGGGCACAACAGACTAAGGACAGGGCACAACAGACTTTGTCAACATATGTTCAAACTTTTCCAGCAGAGTCACAATCTGGAATGTTTTAACTACAATGAAGACAAAGCTTTATGGTACCTGATGAGATATGGACTGCATGATAGCTTTCATAAAGACTACTGGCCTCCTGATGTACGTTTTCTGACAGAAGGATCGAAGAAGCAGAAGAAGATTGGCTTATGTGGTGATTTTCCTATTTTTATATTTATGTTAAGTAAAGAATAACAACAAGTATTCATAATTTTTATGTATTCATAGACCAATTATTTGTTATGAATAAGGCTGGAGAATGTTTAAAACAAATTAGACCACTGAAGAAAACTGGCTCATAAACAGGGTCATGTCTCTGAAACTAAAGTACTCTGGCCCCATCAAATATCATACAAGTTTAGAAATAACAGTGATACAAGATAAACAAAAATAAAATAAAAAAATAAAAATCAGGCAAGACAAGGAATATGATGAGCAACACAACAGTGGCAGGACACAAAAGGCATGAAAGATGAGCCTTTCCAATAGGCTGTGATAAGAGTAATGTTTCTGCAACCTGATGATGATGATAATGAATGTTGAATGTTGAAATAAGAATCAACATCGTAGCACTTGAGACACTCCCATAAGCACTCCGTCCCCATCTTCAGCTGCAAGTGAAGAGTTCCAATTCTGATGGTACTAGTAACTGTCTGATTGTATATCTGTCTCGCCTTTCCCTTGAGTGTTGAGTGTCAGTCAGATCCCTTGTTAACTCCTTGCAGTGCCATTCTCCTCAGACCATAATGATCTATCTGTGCCTCTGCACTGTTCATTCACCCCCAAAGGGCCCTCATAACATCTAGCTTGTCATTCATCAATTCACCACCAAGTGGTGCAGAACCGGCCAGTCTTTCTGCCTGCTCATTTCCCAACACACCAGCATGACCTGAAGAAAATATCCAAAGGATGGTAACTACCTTGATGTTGATGACAGACAGTGTAGTGGCATGATCAAACATTGTCACCAGTTTTCTTCAAGACTGATTGTGTATTATGAGTAAAACATACAGTGAGTGTTAGCGAAATATCTGGGACAAATGGTTCAGAGTTCAGTCAGTAGTCAAAAGCAGTCACCACACTTAATTTTCCGGCACATATCGCTATACTGAGGTAGCAGATGGATTTATTTTTGTTTTTTGGGCAGGCGGTTCAGTTATTGTTATATGCTGCAAGTTTCCTTACAATGATGTTGTCTATTTTAAATATCTTCTTCTTAAAGTTCATGCCGTGTAGTGTTGGTAGTCATGTCTATCCACAACCTTTTGTCTCGTGTACTTTCAACAAACTCTGACACAGATGATCCTTCATGCCATGATGTCAAACTGTCCAGCATCATCTCTCTATGTATCCCTCTGTCCCTCTTCCCCTCCAACTTTCCTACTGACACGATATACTCCAGTTTTCTCCATCTCATGACATGACCAAAGAATGCAGCTTGTCTCCTTCTGATGTGGGCAATCAGTTCTCTTTGTGAGTCAGTTTTAAGACATCTTCCCTACTCTTCTTATGTGTCCAGGGTATTCTCATCATTTATCTGTAAAACCACATCTCAACCAGTTCCAAATAATTTTTCATTTATCGACCATCTGTGCATAATTCACCTCCGTAGATCAGTATTGGATTATACAGCATTTAAGAATTCTCTTTCTTATCTCAACTGACAAAGAAAGATTGCATCGAATATTTTTCATTTTGTAAAATGCTGCCTTTGCTTTAGTTATTTTAGTTTTAACTTCTTTAATAACACATTTTCCATCTTATGTTATCAGGGTATTCAAATTCTGAAACATATCAACTTGCTTGGGGATTGTCCCATTTACTTTGATGCTGCATTTCGGAAGGTTACTTCTGGTTTTCTGCTATTCAAACAAAGACCCTTGTTTTGACTTTCTGTTACAATTATGTCCGCCATTTCTTACAGTTATATTTCCTTTTCAGCGATGAAAACTATATTGTCAGGATATCGCAGGTTGTTAACAGATACCCACCAACCTTTTTTCCTGGTATACCATGTATGGATCTAATTGTTATTTCACTGTTTTCATTTAGGACCTTTCATTCATCGTGTTCTGTGGTTGTGCAGTGTTGCACTTTTAAAGTTTTTTTTTACAGATTTTATCATCATCAGATCCTTATTCGCCAATAAATGCCACTGCATGTTAGCAAGAAATGAAAGTATTGTACTGGTAACTTTTATTGCTATGAGTTTTGCTGTTGTTATATTAAGGTTATCAGAATGTTGGCAATCTCTCATGGACTGTAACTTTGGAACTGAATATTTTCTTTTTCTTTCTGGAAACAATCACAACCCCTAAAATTCTGTTCATATTAGGATAGTTAATCAGGACTTCAATATTTCAACAACATGTACACATCACCAACTGAAGCCTGGCGATAATGATAATAACTCTAGCCTCTTCTTCTATAGCATTCTGAGCTTATGAACTTCACTGCTGTAGAAATCGTCTGCCTCCATCCATCTCTGTAACTGTCTTCATGAAATCTCTGTGACTGCCTCCATCCATCTCTGTAACTGTCTTCATGAAATCTCTGTGACTGCCCCCATCCATCTCTGTAACTGTCTTCATGAAATCTCTGTGACTGCCTCCATCTATCTCTGTAACTGTCTTCATGAAATCTCTGTGACTGCCCCCATCCATCTCTGTAACTGTCTTCGTGAAATCTCTGTGACTGCCTCCATCTATCTCTGTAACTGTCTTCGTGAAATCTCTGTGACTGCCTCCATCTATCTCTGTAACTGTCTTCGTGAAATCTCTGTGACTGCCTCCATCTATCTCTGGGACTGACCCTCTTGTTCTAGATGGTGACCCCCAAGTGTCTATAGGTCTTCTTGGACATTATCTCTTCACCATATTCTTGGTCTGCCTCATGGTCTACAGCCATTCAACTCCCTTGTGCTCAGTTTTTGCCTCTCTGTTATCTGCCATTCTCTCTATATTGCCTAGCAATTATGACCTATAAGCCCTCATGATGCCAATGGATCAATAGTGATTTAAACAGACTGCATTTCATTGTTGCTTCTCATTCTGCATTCTCCACTGTTTGCATTTTTGATGGGTCTAAAGTTTCATTATAAGACTGTTAAAAAAAAAGTCTGCACTCTAAACCTCACTCACCTAATAATGTGTGAGTTTCCTTCATCTCAAAAGCAATATTGGCATTCTCATGAAGTCCAAAAATCTCTGGCTCATCAATAATAGGTAGAGACTCAATGTAATTTTTGAATGAAGCAATGGACTTGGAAAGTGGAGCATAGTAGATTCCTGAAATAATATTACAGATATAGCAATTTTAGAACCATTAAAAAAAAAAAGCATGACAATTATGTTAAGGGTTAAAACTGTTTATAAAACTACACAATTAACTTATCTACAGTGTTTGCAAAACAGGGGCACACATTTCAGACTTTAACACAGAAAAGTCTTAAAAAAATGATGGATGCAGGATATAGCCAATGGAAGAGAATAAAACATAAGTGGAAAATACTAAATTTAGGAGCGTGAAACTAAATAGAAATCTATTAACATAGGACAGTTAATTTTGATTAGATATCAACACAACAATGGTATAGAAGATACTGAAAATTATAATTCAATGTGATAAATTAAAATGCAGTCAAACAGAAATGAGTCATAAAAGGGACATACCTCAGTAAAATGAATCTTAAATTATGGCAAGGAAAAAACAGATATAAACATAAGGCATAAATAATTAATTAACAGTATAGATCAGTCTTTGCCATATGGTGGTCTGTGAAACAAATCTAAGATCCTGTGATATCATTTACAAAAACTTTTGGAACAAGCTCTAACTCTCCAAAATGTAGTGGTAACCATATAAGATGGTTATAGTTAAATCTTAGACTAATAAAGAGTCAGTGGTAGACCTTTGAAAATACGAGGATTACACAACAGGGCATCACTGGAAAAGATAGCAACCAGAGCTTTCTCTTCTGGAAAAAAAGTACCAGCATTCACCACAAAGTGTCTACAAAAATGTGCTGGTACTCACACAGCAGCCCTGACAAAATGGTGCCTAAAAAAAGGTGACGGTACCATGTCCCATTGGGTACTGCCAGGGAAAAAAGCCTTGATGATAACCACCATCATACCAGTCATCTCTGCAGTGACAGCAAATTGTAAAACACATGCCAGTATAGTGAAAACCTACATTTTCTAAGCTTACATTTTGAAGTGTGGATAATACAGTATTACATAATGAAACAGACCTATCACTTCTCTTATGCCAACACAACACCATAGACTGACATCTCTTTTTTCTCACCTGCACGCCCAACACCATAAACTGACATATCTCTGTCTCCCATGCCCACACAACACCACAAACGAACACCTCTCTTTCTCTCATGCACACACAACAGCAGAAACTACTTTAACAAACTGTCACAATTACCTGATTCTGAGTACTTGTATTTGCTGTCCAGTGTATCTGGCTTGAAAAATATTTTGAGAATTGTGCGAAGACATCTCTGATCTTGGGCATCAGTGACACGACCACCATAAGTAATCTGTCATCAAACACGGTCAAGAACACATTTAAACGGACTATTTAGAAACAAATTCAGTATGGTTCCATCAAGGAATTGTATGAAAAGGATAAAGCAGAAGTGTTTGCAACCAGCATGTTGATGAAATGATCGTGGCTTCAGTTTTCCCCATTAATTTTTCATAATGCAATTGTATTTTATCTTTAAAGTATGTTATGTCCATATAGCAGATGTAAATGTATACAAATGTACATGCCTACCACACATGCACAGAGGCATACATACATACGCACACACTCATACACACATACATATGTTAATGCACACACAAACACCACACACACACACACACACACACACACACACACACATATATATATATATATATATATATATATATATATATATATATATATATACATATATATGTACATAATGCACTCATACACACAACACATTCACACATTAGAGAGAGTCAGAGAGACACAGACAGACAGACAGACAGACAGACAGACAGACAGACAGACAGACAGACAGACAGACAGACAGACAGACAGACAGACAGACAGACAGACAGACAGACAGACAGACAGACAGACAGACAGACAGACAGACAGACAGACAGACAGACAGACAGACAGACAGACAGACAGACAGACAGACAGACAGACAGACAGACAGACAGACAGACAGACAGACAGACAGACAGACAGACAGACAGACAGACAGACAGACAGACAGACAGACAGACAGACAGACAGACAGACAGACAGACAGACAGACAGACAGACAGACAGACAGACAGACAGACAGACAGACAGACAGACAGACAGACAGACAGACAGACAGAGGTTAGTTCAACATGTTCTTTAATGTGTTACTATATTCTAAACTAGTTGTACATCCTCTCCGTAACTTTACAAAGAACACCAAGCCAGACTGGTTGTTTGTGATTTTCCAAGTCAATTTTTACTTTCAGTATTTTTCCACTGCTTCTTGAAAGGTAGGACGACGCTTATACTGTTTACACAATCAAGCATAAAGTGGTCGGCTTCTAACTAACCTACATAGGACTTTGAAAGCAGGCGTGACAGAATTACAAAATGGCCTTAACTATGCCTACAGACGCTGTCTATATTCTAAAATGTTACTATAAAATATATGTATCTAGCTCTCAGAAATACAAACATTGCAAAGGTGAATGGACATTGTTTAAAGAAAGATAGCCTTACATATAAAAAGTTTGAGAATGGAGATGGAGGTGGATCTTTTCTCTAGGTTATGCCGGTGTGGTGGGTAATGAACAAGTAGTCAGATTGGCTGGACCTGGGTAGTGAATTGATACATGACAAGGCAGATTTGGTCAAGACACTTTTGGAACAAGCAGCGGAATCAGCGAGAAAGAAGGTTATTATAGTCTGGAGAGAATGATGCACCTGCATGTAAACAGAGGGACTGGCCGGCTCACTACTTAGAAGAAAGACAAAATGGACATATAACCAGATTCTGACCGGTACTATCAGTACTGGAACTCTGCGCTGGCTGCTGATGAGGACCCGGCACACATTGGAATGCCCCGAGTGCTGTAATGTCAATTATTGATTCAGCTCAACTCAACTCAACTTAAAAAATATAAATTTTTGTTGTAAACCAATGTCAACTGTGGATTAATTCTTCTACAGACTGTAAAATCTCACAATACAAGAGACACTTGTTTGGCTACAGTTACTTACCTCCCCTGTGATATAGATGAGTGCGTCCCAGGGAATATATTTATCTGCACAGAACATCTCCAGGTTCAACAGTGCACACTCCCGATCACTGTCACTAAATGCATACTGGGTACACAACCAAAGTAAAATAAGTTAGAACTATTATGTAATAATTTAAAATGTTTCTTTGTAAAGCTAAAAAAAAAAATTGCATCTACTGATGTAGAACAATCTTTGTGTGGGTTCTGGGCTTTATTTAAGATGGGGGGGGGGGGGTACAGACCCACTGTGCCCCCCCCCCCACCCCCCGCCTACAAATTAGGCAACTTTATCCTTATTAATACTGACAGCACAAGGTTGGTAAGAATACTGCACTTATAACTTGTCTGTCTGTCTTTACTGAGATAGCTGGGTGTTTCGAAATTGAGACCAGTTGATGGGTTACTTTGTCATAATCAGTACTGTTTTAAAGAGACAGACATTGTACATTTTAACACCCCACCCCCACACAGCTATCAATCTCTATATTAATTAAAATGCTCTGAAAACAAGATGTGCTGTTTTGGTTTTGTAATGATCTCTTCCTAGGTTAACCCATCCTAAAAATAGCTACCAGGACATTTTCTGGGAAGCAAAGGCAGCTAATGTGATACTGCTTTCATCAAATGTCAACTGGTCTATGAAAAAAAGAGCCTAAACGTCTGACATTTTCCATAATTCCAGAAGGAAATTATGTGTTTGACCTACTGAGATATACATTACACTATGGGCACAACTATCAGTGATTAGTCTCCAGTCAGGAACAACTCCGTAATGGACTATTACTTTCCTATAAACAGATAAAAAGATCTCAATGTACCGTAATATTCCAGCCCAAAGGTCCAAACTTCTTTCTTTCTAGAATGACAGCATGGAAGAAACACATTCCAAATATTATTCTCCTCCAGTCTATGCCCAGAGCTGGAAAAGGAAAAATAATCACAGATGTAAACACAGAAAACTCTACCGGTAAATACAACATGCTATTTAAGTATCGTATGGTGTCCGTGGCTTAGGCGTTGCGAGTCCGACTCGTAATTCCAGTGTATCGCGATCAAAACCCACTGCAAGCTGCTGGGATTTTTATCATGGCTTGGGGTGTTGCAGGTCGCCCCAGCCTAAAATGGGTACCAGGATGTATGTCTTGAGAAAGTAAAGACGGCCGGCATAAAGCTGACCACATTACCCACCTAGTGCCGATTGGTCTGTAAAAATATGGTTGCTCTTCCCATGTGCCCGATGCACCTAGGGGCGTGAAAAGGGATCTTTACTTTTTTGTAATAAAAAAAAAATTTAAGTATCATACTACTGAATCCATTACTTGTTTTATACTTTTTTTGTGTATGTGTGCACTCCAAGCCCTTATGGTTCACTGCTGCAGATATCACATGCCTCCATTCATCTCTGTGATTGGCTTTTTCTTTCCAGCTGGTGACTCCAAGTGTTTGTATATCTATCTGTATATTATCTCTTCACTGTCTGATTAATCTGCATCACGATCTACTAACAGTTAATTGTCTTGAGTATACAGTTTTTAGCATCTACTCATATTAATACAAAATAGTACCAAATCCAACAACTAAACATTAAACACAAAAGTCTATTTAAGTGGCATAGTACCAAATCCAACAACTAAACATTAAACACAAAATTCTATTATAGTGGCATAGTACTAAATCCAACAACTAAACATTAAACACAAAATTCTATTAAAGTGGCATAGTAGCAAATCCAACGAGTAAACATTAAACACAAAATTCTATTATAGTGGCATAGTAGCAAATCCAACAAATAAACATTAAACACAAAATTCTATTAAAGTGACAACAGGGCTTTTTTTCTTCTTGTTCTAGACCCCAAACAAATTAAAGGTACTGGTACTCGCAACAAAGTGTCTATTACAGTCCTGTTGAAAACATGATGCTTTAAAAAAAAATCTGCCGGTGCTGCATGACACTCACCCCAGGCCTGAAGGTTGAAGTTCACATCCACTTCAATACAGATTTTTTTTCAAAAAGTGACCCTGACTCCCAGGTTGACCCAGCACAAAACAGGTACCAGGTAAAGTCTTAGGAAGTGGCCGGCATGATGCTAACAACATGACCCATGAATGGTGACTGGTCTATATTATTGGTCTAGCTCTACATGGCCAATATACCTAATGGCATGGAAAAGGGTCCTTCACTTTAGCTCACCAATAAAGTTTAAGTCAGAAGGATCACATTGCTTCCCCAGGTTCTATATCATACAGCTTTATCTGTCTCCATAGAATGGCTATCGACCTGTCTCGAGCAGTGCACAAAGCACAAACTTCCTAGATCCAGCTACAATTCCAGGCATCTCCATAAAAACTGCACCCATGAACTGAATGATGCAGTCTGTGAAACGAGCACCAGAGCTTCAGAGAGTAAGGCCAACAGCCTGACCACTTTACCATGGAGATTCATCTGCGTAAAGATTCTACATCACAGCAATCGGAACAAGCCTATATTAGCACTTCAAGAATCAGCGGAGTCTCCATATTGATGGTATCACAGCATTCGGAACAAGCCCATATTAGCACTTCAAGAATCAGCGGAGTCTCCATATTGATGGTATCACAGCATTCGGAACAAGCCCATATTAGCACTTCAAGAATCAGCGGAGTCTCCATATTGATGGTATCACAGCAATCGGAACAAGCCCATATTAGCGCTTCAAGAATCAGCGGAGTCTCCATATTGATGGTATCACAGCAATCGGAACAAGCCCATATTAGCGCTTCAAGAATCAGCGGAGTCTCCATATTGATGGTATCACAGCAATCGGAACAAGCCCATATTAGCGCTTCAAGAATCAGCGGAGTCTCCATATTGATGGTATCACAGCATTCGGAACAAGCCCATATTTAGCGCTTCAAGAATCAGCGGAGTCTCCATATATGATGGTATCACAGCATTCGGAACAAGCCCATATTAGCGCTTCAAGAAATCAGCGGAGTCTCCATATTGATGGTATCACAGCATTCGGAACAAGCCCATATTAGCGCTTCAAGAATCAGCGGAGTCTCCATATTGATGGTATCACAGCATTCGGAACAAGCCCATATTAGCGCTTCAAGAATCAGCGGAGTCTCCATATTGATGGTATCACAGCATTCGGAACAAGCCCATATTAGCGCTTCAAGAATCAGCGGAGTCTCCATATTGATGGTTCTGCCATTACCTGGTTGACTACTTGTCATGCTTCCCTCCCTCCAACCCAGAGTCTTGAGTGGCACCCAGAGCCTGCAGACACTCCCTGCTTCATCATTCTCTCCAGGAATGGTTTTTCTACATTTTCCATATGCATACTTCTAAAAACAAACATATTTTTCTCTGAACTTCATATTTACAAAACAGAGGAAACAAACAAAAATGAAAAGTTACCAAAAGCAGTTTTTTGCATAACAACATTTTCCTCTGCAAAAATATGGCTTTACATGAGACTTGAGACAAAAGAGGAGAGAAAAAAACCTGAATTACCGTGAAAGATAAGAGTGCTAGAACAATATTTTCTACTTACGATGTTCCTCGAAAAACTGTGGTGTCATCTCAGAGAAAGCCCGTCGCAGGTTTGCTCGAATACCTTTTGGTGGTTCGTTGGTGACCTTGACACTGTTCTGGAGGACACTGACGGGGAAGTGTTTGGCAGGCATGGATGACAAGAACAGGCGGAAGCTGGAGTTAATCAAGCCCGGAGACTCCTGCAGTTCTTTGATAATCTCCTCCATGGCTAGCATCCATGAGGCAGCTAAGTGGCAGTTCTGAAGGTTTATGACAATATTTTTTTTTTTAAAAAAGTAAAGGACCCTTTTCCATGCCTTTCTGGCGTATTGGGTACATAGGGCTAGACCTATTATTTTATAGACCAACGGCACAAAATGGTGATTTGGTCAGCATCACACCGGCCGCATTTACTTCCCAGGACTGCACTCGGTACCCACTCAAGGCTGGGTCGACCTGGGAGGCAAGGCCATTTTTGAAAAAAGTCGGGCCCCCGCCAGGGAGCCAACCCATGACCTTCCGATCCGCAGCCAAGCCTCTAGACCACTGCGACTCCCATTATGATAATACTGTAAAGGGTTAATACTTTAACATAATGGTGTCTAGTTTGAAAATTATTTAGAAAAATAGAAAATCCCCCCCCCCCCCCCCCCCCCCCCCCCCCCCCCCCCCCCCCCCCCCCCCCCCCCCCCCCCCCAAAAAAAAAAAAATTAATGACTTGTGTTGCTTACAGGATATTTCATAACCAGTAAGTATTTTTTACTTTGCTATTTGTCATATTACTAGGCAATTTTATGCTCAGTAGTTTGCCATTGCCTCTGAACTGTTGGCAGTCAGCTCTTGATACCATGATACCACTGTCAAAACCAGAAGCAAAACAGTCTGCTGTCAAATCACCTGCAACTGTGATCAAACCCACTGTGTTCACAATGCCCAAGCCACAGATGCTGAAAAATGTATTCAAAAATAGGACATTTGAAAAAAAAAAGAATAAATTATAATCTTTTAACTCTTTCAATGCCAGACAACTCACCACAAGTTCACAGAGTGCTCTAGTGTTAATATTTCTTAACTTCTTTTGTCCCATTTTCCTATTACACTAATCAATTATGCCTCTTGTCGGCGCCTGCGGCTTAAGTGTTGCAACATGCTTCACAACGCATGGGTGCTGAGTGTGATCCAAGCTGCAGGGGAATTGGCAGCTTGCCTTGCATCGGTTTTAACAGTGGTTTCAAGAGCTCTTGTTCAAAAAGCAATGGCAAACTACTGATCATAAATTTTTGCCTAGAAAAACCACAGAAGCCTAAAAAATGTCGGGGCTAGTTCTGTAACATATACTGTAACATCCTTTAAAGGACAGGAAGCTAGCTTTTTCAGTATTCAGCCTGTCACGGACCAGCAGTCCATGTGATTGTGTGTGCATTCACCAGCTGTAAACTTTTGCAGAAAGTTCTGGTTGTTCATTCACTCTAGACTTTGGTCTTGTTCAAGAACTCAAGTTTTGCATGCACATTTATTTGACAGATCTGTCATAGTTGTATGTAGACTGTTGGTTCCTCATCT